GAGAGAGAGAGAGAGCGGTCAGAATACGTTACGTTACGTCAGGATGTCTCCTGATGGCGATAACAAGGATGGTGATCAGAAGAAGGGCGGCATCGCTGCTGGTGTTGGCTGGGTTACTTCGACGGTTGGGTACGTGGTTGGCTTGCTTTCTGTCTTCTCTTTTGGCTGTTCGCTTTTTGGTCTTCTCGCCTGTCTCTTCTGTCTCTTCCCTTCTTCGTTACTGAACGAACTAACTCACTGGATCCCAGGAACGGCGTGAGCGGCGTGGTGGGCACGGCCGGCAACGTCGTGGGCGCTGCCGGGCGCGGCGTCGGCGACACGGTCACGTCTACGACGGGGGAGGTGGGCCGGCCGGTCGGCGACGCGGTCAAGTTCGTGACGGGCGGGATCGAGGGCGGGGCGGCGAGCGTGGCTGGGGGGGTGAAGAAGGCGGGAGGAGGTGGTGATGGTGGGGGGAAGTAGGCTTGACGGCAGGCAGGATGGACGGTGCGGATGGTGTCGACGATGAGGATCACACAATAGGGTTTAACGGGATGCCTGGGGTGACGTGATACTACTAGGTACTGTAGGGCTAAGTACTATATATAGTAGTATCATCATCCCCCGGGACATGGGGGTTGAGCTCCCGAGAGATCCTGGCCCCTCGATAGTCTTGAACCTTCCACGCGGCTTTTTTGCTTCTACTACTGTACTGTACTGTACCGGTACCGGGTACTATCCCTCTTTGAGAGATTGGGAAACTTCGAAAGGTGTCGCAGTAATTTCACACAGGCGCTCTCGCTCGACAGGGGATTGAGGCAGCCGATCATGTCCTACCTACCTTACGTATGCCTCGAACCTTACAGACTTGTTATTTGCACGCCTCAACCTAGGTAACCGGTACTAGGTAGGTATCTGAGTCGGTCGGCCGCCTAGCTACGAAGTAAATCCACCTGCTACAGTAGGTATTCTACCGGTACACGAGTAACATTTTTTGATCAGGCCGCCCCACATCTGACTTCCATCCCATGACCGGTACCCAACGAAAGATCTGCGCATGAGTTGAGCGCATACCTAGGTACGTACGTATGGGAGGGAGGGAGAGAGGGGAGCCGCTCTCTACTTATGGGGTGCGAAGAAAGCCAAGATCGCGTTGGGGGTTTGAAGAGGAGAGATGAGATGAGAAGGAGGGAGAGAGGGAGGGAGGGAGGGGAGGGAGGGAGGGAGAAGAAAAGACAGCAAAAAAATTACACTCTCATAGTACGTACGGGAGTTATGATAAAAGTCAAATCCAATCGCTGAAATGTACAGTGTCTAATGTCTCATGTCCAATGTGCAATGGCGCGAAAGCGATAGATGTTATTATGATGTTGTGATGTTATACCGGTATGTACTCTTGTTCTGTGATTCCATTTTTTAGGTTGCAAGTGTGGATAAGTATATACTTTTGCGTGAAGTAGTATGGTATATTGGGGGTTTTGAGAGTGAGAATGAGAAGAGATGGAGAGATGAGAAGATGAAAGAATATTTGTATATATAAGCGGAATCATTACGTAAGTACCTTAGGTACTGTAACGGATTTCCTTTCCTGTCCTTTGCTTTGCTTTGCTTCGCTTTGCATACCGGTAGTAGCAGCAGCAGCAGCAGCATGTGACTATGACTATGGCTGGGCGGCCTACTCAAATACAGTACCGTAGGCAGATAGGTAGGTAGGTAGGTAGGTAATGGCTGTGGGTGGAGGCGTGCGAAAAGAAAAATAAATAAGCAAGCAAACAGACAGACAGAAACAAATAGATAAACAAACAAACAAATAAACAAATAAATAAATAAATAAATAAATAAATAAATAAATAAATAAATAAAAAAATAAATAAATAAATAAATAAATAAATAAATAAATAAATAAATAAATAAATAAATAAATAAATAAATAAATAAATAAATAAATAAATAAATAAATAAATAAATAAATAGATCAACAACAGCGATGAAAACTCTGCGGCGTCTGGTCGCGGCGGGAGGCAGCGAAAAAAGCTACGGTGGCTAAGCTTTGGGAGGGGGGGGGGGATCTTTATTGTACCGGTATTGTATGCAGGTACCAGGTACTACGTAATTACGAAGTACGTAGTACTACTGTACTGTATTAGGTAGGTACTACTACTGTATGATGGACTGGGGGGGGCTGGACACGGCTTCGTAAGGACTAGGCTAGGCTAGGTAGGTAGGTACTGCTGCTATTTATACAGCTGGCGTCGTCCGCCGGGATCACGGGAGGTTTGAGGTTTGAGGTTTGGATGGGATGGGATGGGAGGGGAGGGGAGGGGAGGGGATGGGACGGGGTTTGCTGGTTGGTTGGTAGGTAGGCACCGTATTCGATGGCGAATTGATTTCTTCGCTCAACGTGGGATAGGGATGCGGGAAGAGACGCTCGTGACTTGGATGCTTTGGACAGCAGCAGATTGTTGTCGCGATGGACAGCAGATTGTTACTTCTTTTTTTTTTTTTTTTTTTTTTTTTTTTTCCCCGCTCAGAGGATCCGTTGTTCCCGCATGCTCATGTAGGGTAGGGACGAAACTCGAGAATCTGGGAGAGCGGCTGTGTGGTTCGTCGTGGCTGCGTTGTCAGCCGTCTCTTCTTCAGATGGATACCTCCCGTACTCCGTCGCCCCATGAGTCGTACCGTACCGTATTTTGTGATTACCGGCTTCGTGACGATGGGTTGATGGATGCATTTGACCTTTGCGACCGGCGAGGTAGAAGTATGCTGCATAGTAGTACATGTACCACGGTACAGGCCTAAGTATTATCCCTCGAGGGTAGGGTAACCAGGTGGTTGAGAGTGGAAACTAAACTTTGGAGGCACCCTCGAGGGGTAATACTTAGCCCTGTATCCGTGGGTAGTATAGTACTAGTACGTACTACGTATGTGCTCGTACTGCTAGATTACGGTAATCATCTGCTCCTTTACTGATTGGATGGTCCATCCTTCGATCCTGCGATCCTTCAATCCTTCCAACCCTGAAAGTTGGGCCGCGGCTTCCGGGCCTACGTATCTCGCAGAGGCAGGAGACTGACTCTCTCTGACTCGTGATTAGAAGACGAAGCTGTTGGCAGTCGTATTCCCGGGTGATGTTGTCCCGTAGTACCTATGATTCTCCGACATGACAATTGATGGACCGGTGCGGTCGCGACTTTCCCTACCCACCCACCACCTGCGACCCCCTGCCGCAGATGAATCTGACTCGGCATCGCGCTGTGCAGACCTCGACGTACGGTAAGTGCTCATACCAGCAGAGTTGCTTTTATCTTTGATTCTACTACGGTACTCTACAGTACAGAGTAAAGGATGATCGGCGGCATGGGTCCTCAGCTCTTGGCCGCATGGAAGGACGGAAGTAAGCGAAGCTCTGTTTATTCCACCTAAGCGATGACCACCTCTCATAAGCCACTTTCTCTTATCGATCCTGCAGGCGTCTTGAATCAAAAGGTGGAGGGGATTCCGAGAAGATGTGGTTACAGACTTGACCGTGCAATCTGACATCAGGAGCAGAATAATCTGAGTAAGCCTGCGGGTGCCCGTCCGACACATCGTAGTAATCGTATACTACCACACCTACTACGAGTTGTATAGTCAAGCAGGCCCTGACAATTTCCGCGAGGGTTTCATGGCCGGGGCACAAACCAGGTCGTCATGTCGATATCGAGAAGCAGTGCCGTAATCTATTAGACTTTCCGCAAGTCAATAGTGCAAACGGCCATGTCCCTCCTACCGTATGGTAGCCGGAAGGTCTGAATGCCTTCCAGGAACGTCCCGAAGTCGTTCGAGCCCTCCTTCAGTTGCTCATGTGCCGGCATCTTTAGTCAATGCCGAAATGTTTGTGTAGGTACTATACCTACTTCTAGAAGTATTTTTAGTGCTTGCATCCATCCCATCTCAATGATTGGTTCACGGGTTCCCTGGTGGGAAGCGCCCTAGACGTTGTTGATCTTGTTGTAATTGTACCATGACAACTACTTGACCTAGTTGTTGTTGTACAACGTACTACTAGATGTCAACAAGCCCCCCAGTTCCTGGCATGCTTGCAAATCGTCAGTTGGCAGGTGTCCGGCGCCGTGCAGGCTGCACAGCCTGGCGGACCACACCTGGCTCTGAGGAGGGAAATGGGAAAGGGATCTTGAAACATTCTACGCCAAGGGACCGTGTTGACCTGGGAAGCGTCCATTAGCTTTTGTTACTTTCGGAGGGCTCCGTCGACTTCTTGTCTGCATATATATACATACGTAGCACCCAATCCCATCCGATCTTTCCGATCACTCTCGTCGAGGTTCCTTAACAACACTCCTTTCTAGATTCCTCAACTACACTCATTTTTAATTTTTAGTTCTCACCATGGCTCTGGCTACTTTCGGTCTGGTATTCGCTGCGGCCAGTTGGGTGTGCTCGGCCAACGCTGCTAGTGCGACGGGGGGAGATTTCAATGTTCTATCCATCAATGTTGATGGTCTGCCCGAGTTCATCGACCTCGCCCAAAACAAAATCCGCAACTCATACGCCATCGGTACTAAGCTCAAGGAGTACCAGTACGACATCGTCCATCTTCAAGAGGGTCGGTCTACCTCTCACACAGCATCGAGACGAGGACTAATATCCAGCAGATTACAACTTTCACATGACCATCGCTCCCATAAGCGAATACCCGCACAGAACCACGCATAAAGGCCCGCTTCCCATTGGCGACGGTCTGAGCACCTTGTCAAACTACCCTTGGGAACATTTCTCCCGGGAGGAATGGAAGAAATGCGCTGACGCCGACTGCTTTACGAGATCGGGCTTCACGTTCATGCGAGTCAGGCTTGCGAATGGTATCTACATCGATACCTACAACCTCCACACCGATCATGGGTATATCTGCCCCATATCAACGCCGCGAGAGTGGAAACTAACACCCTACACAGCCATGATCCCGATGACGTTGAGGCTCGTGCCGCCAACCTGGTGCAAGTCTCCGAATACATCAAAGCCCGGTCGGCCGGTAACGCCGTCCTCGTCTTCGGCAGCACCAACTCCCTCTACTCGCGACCATCCGATGTCGCGGACATCTTCCAGGTGCAGAATGGCATGACGGACCCATGGGTGCAACTCGAGCACCAGGGCGAGACGCCGACTGAACAGTCGGTCTGCCCCAACCCGTCGATGGTCAACAGCTGCGAGGCGGAGGAGAAGATCTTCTACCGCGGCTCCCGCGCCCTCGCCCTCAACGCCACCTACTTCGGCTACGAGTTCAACAGGTTCGTACGCAGTGATGATAACCGGGTCCTGAGCCCCAACAACCCCGTGTCGGCCAACTTCACCTGGGCCGCCTCGTCCTCGTTCCGCCAGTCGAACCTCTCCGGTGGCCCCCACGGAGTCTGGTTCAACGACTTGGACGCCCTCCCGGAGAAGCCCCAGGTCCAGACCATCACCTTCTCGGGTGGCGAACGCCTCGACAGCGTCGGCCTGACCCTCGTCACGGGAGAAGCCTTCACCCACGGCGGTCCCGGTGGCATCCCGGTCAGCCTCACCCTCGAGCCGAACGAGTTCTGGACCTCCGCCCAGCTGTGCACCGACCGGAGAATTGGCCGCACCAGGAACTTCTTCATCGAGGCCACCACCAGCACCGGACGCGCCCTGACGGCCGGGACGCGCACGTCCGACTGCGTGACGTACGATGCCCCCGAGGGCTGGCAGATCACCGGCTACATGGGCCGGGTCGGCGAAGAGGTCGACCAGCTCGCCTTCATCTACGCTCCGCAATAGCCGCCTCCTCACCTCGTGTTCTTCGTCACGACAGGGGCCTCGCCGGAACGAAGAAAAACAAAAAAAAAAATTAAAAAAATTCTTGTACCATGTCACCGGGAGGAAACGTCGTTGCCGGGCCGCCTACGCACTTTATCCTCCAAGCGAATTAGACCTCTTGTAGTAAACCTTACCTTCCTGCTGCCATTTGTAGATAGATAGATACCTCTCGAAAACAGACTCTTCTTCCCAAGATAGACAGACCCGCCCTTCCTCCCGGTACCCGCACGCGAACCAATAAACTAGACCTTCCTTTTTT